GGTGGATTTTCTGTTTCTTCATTTGAGATTTTAAACATAGAGAGAATCCGACATTACTGAAAAAACTATAAAATCATGTCCGATGGTTATGGTAGTTCTAAGAAGAGGGATAATATCTGCGAAGATGTTTGTGGACAGGTGATGATTTCTGGGTTTCCATCATCAAGCCATGATTTTGTTTTTTTGGGGTCATTTTGATTAGAGTCATAGGCTTTAGGTCATTGATTGTTAACACTACTATAGAGTTTATGATTTAGATTAGAGAAAGTGATTGGATTATTTTTTAATTAAAAAAAATCTCTTCTTTTGAATGATTCTTGTTGCATAATCATGTTTAAGTTTCTGAGCTTTAACATTTTACAGGAGGGTTCTCGAGCAGGGAAGGCCATGTCAAGGCTAAAATGTGTACTTCTAAGAGGACTTGATTTCAAGACGTATCTATTTCTCTTCACTCTCTTGCCAATTGCCATCTTCGGTATCTATTTACACGGTCAAAAGATCACATATTTCTTGAGACCACTATGGGAATCACCTCCTAAACCATTTAACATCCTTCCGCATTACTACCACGAGAATGCTTCCATGGAAATGCTCTGCAATCTTCACGGCTGGAAAATCCGCGATTCTCCAAGAAGAGTCTTTGATGCTGTCTTGTTCAGTAACGAGATCGATATGTTGACTCTCCGTTGGAACGAGTTAAATCCTTACATTACGCAGTTTGTGCTTCTGGAATCCAACTCGACTTTCACTGGTCTGTCAAAGCCGCTGGCTTTCGCGGATAACCGAGAGGAGAAATTCAAATTCGTTGAGCCAAGACTGTCTTATGGGCACGTAGGAGGAAGATTCAAGAAAGGCGAAAACCCTTTTGTGGAAGAATCGTTCCAAAGGCTTGCATTGGACCAACTGATCAAACTCGCGGGTATAAAAGAAGATGATCTTTTGATAATGTCGGATGTCGATGAGATCCCGAGCGGTCATACTATCAATATGCTTAGATGGTGCGACGGATTCCCACCGATTCTTCATCTTCAGCTGAGAAACTACCTCTACTCGTATGAGTACTATGTCGATATCAAAAGCTGGAGAGCTTCTGTTCATCTCTACAAGCCTGGGAAAACTCGGTACGCTCATTTCCGACAAAGCAACAATCTTTTGACGGATTCAGGCTGGCATTGCAGTTTCTGTTTCAGACACATCAAGGACTTCGTATTCAAGATGAAAGCTTATAGCCATACTGACCGGGTGAGATTCTTACATTATCTGAACCCCAAACGAATCCAAGATGTCATCTGCAAAGGAACTGATCTTTTCGATATGTTTCCTGAAGAACACACATTCAGAGAGATTATCGGGAAACTAGGTCCGATTCCTCGGTCTTACTCAGCTGTTCATCTCCCTGGATATCTCATCCAGAATGTCGATAGTTACAAGTACTTATTACCTGGGAACTGCAAACGAGAAACTGACTGATAGATAAAGATCTCTACTTACTCGCTTATTAGTCCCCTATAGATTTTAGGAGCTTTGGCTGTCTCTTTCTTTATGCCTTCTGTGTACATAAAATTCTACAGTCTTAAGATTTTTTGTAATTTTACGGATTTGATAGAACAGCTGGAAAACATAACTTGATTTTGAGAAAAACAGAGGATTCTTTACATAAAACGATCGTATCTACCTCGGAAAAATGGGATTGTGCAGACATTTATAATTAAAAGTGTTACTGAAGGGCAAAAGATGTTCCAATAGATGATGATCCAATGGTGATTTGTTCGGTGTTCCTTGTACTGCTTCTTTGAAGCCTTTTTGATAGTTCCTCGTAGTGTTTTATTTGCTGCAAAACCACCAAAATGAGATTCAAACTCAATGAGAGACGATAAGATTTTCAGTTTCTAAGTAATGCAAAGAGAGAGAGAAGAGAATACATGTTTGTTCACAGAGGATGAGACTAAGGACAAGGCTTCCTCGAAATGAGTCAATTTGACGATACACTGAGTTGAATCAGTAACATCATCTTCAGACGAGCTGAATTTCTCCTCCACTGCCTGATGTATAGCTTTGTCCACCTTCCCATTAAATAAATTCAAACTAATTATCAGAATCATACACATTACAGAACACAGGTCGTCTCATGAATGAAGAAAGGTTGCACAAGATTACCAGGTTAGCGAGATCAGCTCCGCTGAAATCTTCACAGTTCATCTTTGCAATGGCATCCAGATCAACACTAGGATCTATGGGTTTCTTCTTTGTTATAGCTTTTAGAATTGAAGCACGCTCATCCGCGTTAGGGAGGGGTACGTAAACAAGATTCCCCAACCTCCCCGGTCTCAAGAAAGCGGGATCAACTACATCTGGCCTGTTTGTAGCTCCAATTACATATACATTACGCCTCTCTCCACCGTCCAGCTCAACAAGAAACTGTGAAACATCGACGCCTGAGTAAGATTTACGGTTGCACCATTCAATATGATGAAGAAAGAAAGCCTTTATTACCTGGTTTAAAAGCCTTTCAACAACCCAAGCACCTTCTTTGCCACGACTTGTAGTCAAAGCATCTACCTGAAGTTCAAAAACATTACTCATGTATAAGAATCGGACAGCTCTTAAACTGTATCAACCCAAACATAGATTAACTTTGTTTGCTCAGTCAAATATACATCGGCCTTAAGATTACACACTTGAATTTTAGCCAGACTACTGTTCAAAATGTGGAACACAAACCTCGTCAAAGAAGAGTACGCATGGGGCGCATGTCCGGGCGCGCTGAAACAATGTCCGAATAGCAAGCTCGCTTTCTCCAACATATTTATTTAGAATTTCTGCACCCTGAAAGCCAACAATAGAATACAGATTATTATTGGACCATTCATATGCAAAGCAAAATCCAGATAATCTGACGTGAAAGTCTAACCTTGATGTATATGAAATTAGCTCCTGCCTCGTTTGCAACTGCTTTTGCAATCAATGTCTTACCACAACCCGGTGGTCCATAGAGCAAAAATCCTGTCTCTAAGTCTACTCCAAAAGCCTAAAAAGATCCAAGAGAAACATTCAGAGTTTCAGACCTCGATAGAACATGCAAGTAATCTCTTGACTATGTAACAGTGGCAAGTGATTTATAACTACCTTATAGATATCAGGCTTTTTGATCGGTCTGACTATATAACGGTTGAGTTCAAGCCGTAGATGGTCAAGTCCACCAACATCGTCCCACTTAACATCAGGCACGGTAGAGAATCCTTCTCTTGTCAAAGAACCCTGAACTAGATTCACTGCTTCCTGGTAGAAAACAGAGCAACTAACAGAGTCAAGAGCCAAAGAGAAAAACTTTGTAACCATCGAAGTACAGGGAAGTAACTCATATCAGGAATCTAATTGATATACCTCGAAATCAGACATTTTGACGAAGAGTTTTTCCAAGTCTTCTTCCGGCCAGGGCTGCCTCAGCCAAGATTTATCATCTTCACCATCACCGGTCAGTTCTGATTTTCTTGAATCCTTGATCCTCTTTGTGGCTATCCTGCCAGCCATGTTAGCAACACCTTCCAGATCGGCTCCAACAAAACCCGGTGTTATACGAGCTATTTTTTTCTTGTCAAAGGGACCTTCTAGTCTAAGTTTTTGAACTACAACAGAGAGTATCTCAGCCCTTGCATCTTCATCTGGAACACCGAGAGCAATCTCACATTCAAATCGTCCACTTCTCCTCAAAGCAGGATCAAGAGAATCAGGCCTATTTGTAGCTCCAATGACAAGAACAAATCCAGGAGTAGAATCAGGATTATTTTTCTCGCCATTGTTACTAGGCCCATCCATACAAGTCAATAATTGCGTGACTATCCGTTTCTCCATCTCCCTTTGCTGATTTTCTCTCTTTGATCCAATCGCATCAATCTCATCGATAAACACAATCGAAGGCGCAGTCCTATATGCTTTAGAGAAGAGCTCCCTAATATTCTCTTCAGAAGTACCTGCGAGTTTTCAGCAGAACAAAATTTGAATATTGTATTAGTACAATCAAAGAGGGAGCTCAACAACAAACTGAAACAAAAGGATCATGCAATTCATTACCAGATACACCAGAAACCACATCTGTAGCTGAAATCTTGTAAAACGGAACACCAACTTCATTGGCTATGGCATGAGCCAACTTGGTCTTTCCACAGCCAGGTGGTCCATGAAACAGGATCCCACTTGGTGGCTTTACTCCGATCTTCTTGAACGGTTCAGGATTGAGAATCGGAAATAAAACATTCATCTCCAATTCATCCAACACTTTCTTAATCCCACCGAAATCTTTAAAAGTAGGTCCTTTAATACCAACCACATCCAAATCACCATTACCAGTAGGTCCGCCGATAGAAAGAGATAATTTAGCTTCCTTTCTCGACCCCATTGTAGCCATCTTGCTTCTAGCTTTGTTGGTCACAGTCTCAACTTCAACATTCTTTTCCACAGGCAAAGGAGAAGAAGGCACAGTTGGTTTCTTCGCGGAGCTATTCACCTTAGCGTAGTTGTCTCTAAGACTGCTATTGGTCAAATCAAACCGCGGACTCAACTTCTCACTGTAAATCGCGTCATCGGAAGTCGACACATCGCCATTGTCTTC